AGCGTGGTGCACGGTAGTGGACGAAGAGGGTGGTGGCGACGAGGGTTGCTATTGCTGTTGCTGTTGTTGCCTGGTGGATGTTATGAAAAGAAAGGAGTTCCTCCCCAGATTTGTGCTTTCAATTAATTTTCCTGAATTAAGAGACGATTGTAAGAAGGAATTAAAGCTTCTCTCTGAGTACGAGAACTTTGCAAATCGATAACGTCCTTCAGCTTAGAAAATTACGTTTATTAATTTTTCTTCTTCGTACGACGAAAAAAAAAGATTATATAAAATTTCTTTTTCAAAAAAAAAAAATTGTATAAAAAAAGAATTATATAAAAAAAAGAAAAAGAAAGAAAACCTCTCTCTCTCTCTCTCTCTCTCTCTCTCACTTCCTCTCTTTCTCTCTCCCTGGTAATCAACGTGGAACGTTCTAATCTCGATTGAAAATGCATTGGTAAGACACATACGTTATTCTTATTCTTCTATACGATTAGAAACGATGAATAAAAGAGAAAAAGAGAAAGGTGGTTCAGCTTGCTAGACGTAGCAAGCGTAGGTAGTCGCTACTATAAAGTCTACCACGTATCTATATCAAAAGCAAAGCCAACAATGGGGTCATACGAGCCCTTATAATATCGTACCGGCTCTAAGAGGAGGAAAAAAAGAAGAGGGAGAGAGAGAGAGAGAGAGAGAGAGAAAGAGAAAGAGATACGAGGCCAGCTGCCATAACCGATACAATTGTTAAACGTGTACACAGAGAAAAGAAACATAGAGAGAGAGAGAGAGAGAGAGAAAGAGTTTCAAAAAAAGAGATTAATAGATAATTTTAGACGTATTCGAATGACAATTTGAATAACAATTGAGTTATTTCTTTCGAATTTATAAGAAAAAGAGATAGAAGAAGAGAAAGAAAGAAAGAATGAAACTCAACGAAATCGTGAAAAGAGAAGTGCTCGATAAAGACGAGGGTAGAAACGCGAAGAATATTCAAATCGCGCTTAATTCGTATGATTTATGAACATAAAAAAACAGGCACAAGCATACACACGTACTTACACATGACACAATAATACGATGGATGTTAGACGAGCCGTGTTCCTCATAAGTACGCATCGATGCATCAGGACTATGCACCAACGAAGAACGTTGAAATAACGAACGGTGGAAATAAATATTAATAAAGAGCTCTCTCTTTCTTTCTCTGTCTATCTATCTACCTATCTATCTCTGTCTGTCTTTTTCTTTCTATCTAACTCACATAATTTTGTTTCACTACCTCCCTCTCTCCCCCCCCCTCTCTCTCTATCTCTCTCTTTTGCGTACTCTACGTGCCGGTGCATTGTTCAGGCCATTACGAGAGCCAATTAATCTATGCACAATTTTATAATTAAACGGCTAATAGTGCATAGAATTATAGTCCAGGGACGCTCAAGTGCTCCCACGTACGGCGCTACGGTGTTTTCAGGCGTTACGATGGGAAGAAGACACATGAAGATGATCACGGGAAAAAGGAAGAAAAAGAAAGAAAGAAAGAAAGAAAGAAAGAAAGAAAGAAAGAAAGAAAGATAGACAGATAAATAGATAGAAAGGGAAAAGAAATAGGAAATGAATAAAGCGGAAAAGTTACGTTTCTTCCTTCGCTCTTTCTTGTTTTTTTTTTCTTACGTTTTTTTTTTACTTTACTTTGATCTAATACTTGGAATTTCATCATTATCAAAAGACTTTGACTAATATTAATGATACGTGCCTATCTATACATCGATTTAAGATAAGAAGATAGAGGAATTAATGATAGCATTAAATAGAAAAATAAAGCGATAGAAAGAGAGAGAGAGAGAGAGAGAGAATTTGAACGTCGATTTAATGACGAATATTAAAGATCAAGCAAATAAAAACGATCTTCGTTCAATATGCGAAGGCGGAAAAAGGCATTGGATCAACGATACTCACTTTAAAATGATCTCATCTTTCTCTCTCTCTCTGTCTTTCTCTTTCACTCTCTCGCTGTTTCTCTTTCTCTCTCCTTCATTCTGTACCTATTGCGATCGCGATAGTCACGATGATCGATAAGGAAATAATAATGCGGCCCCTCTTTGTACGCGGCTAACGAGTCGAGTCAATTATATTAATTAATTTGCCTAACTCGGCCGAAGCAACGATTATATACTAGCTGGTTATATTATCCCATTGGATGGCAATGAACATTCGTGCGCAACGAGCCCTCTCGTCTTTAATTAGTTGTCTATTAAAAGAAAAAAAGAGGTAGAAGAAGAAACGAGAAAGAAAGAAAGAAAGAAAGAGAGGGATATCTAAAGGGAAATGATGATCGATCGAAAACATAGAAATGTGGAAAAGTGAGAATAGATGGGATGAATAGATAGATCGATTTATTTACTTTTCTGACGTCAATCGAAAGGGGGACAGTCAACAAGAGATCTTCACATACGATTAGATTTTATCTTTTAATCTGATGAAAAGTAACTCCAGAAAGTGAGCCTATAAGTAAGTAGCTAATATTACATAGTAGGTAAATAAAAATTGAATGATAACAAAAATGATTGTTTCTAGTGCATATTTACGTACACGAAAAACTTTGATAACCGTTCATATTTTAATTGATGAAAAATCGGAAGAAAAACTTTTTGAAAGGATGACCGAGAATGAAGATCGCAAAGCGAGTAAATTCGATGCAACTTTACCGTCGCTTAAAGTGTTTAATTCGCCTAATCAAATGTATCCCAAGAAAACATGAGTAAACTCACGAACATTGATTCTATATCATCGCGAATCCGAAAGAACGAACGAACGAACGAACGAACGAACGAACGAACGAACGAACGAACGGACGAACGAACGGACGAACGAACGAACGAACGAACGAACGAACGAACGAAGTATCGCACCTGGCGCCGCTCCGGCAAACCACAAGAAAAAAGCTCTTGAATTATCGATGCGGTTCTCGATGCATGCTGTTGCATCGATGCTGCTGTTGTTGGTGCTGTTAGTAGTAGTATTAGTAATAGTATTAGTAATGGTATTGGTAGTGGTGATGATACTGCTGCTGTTGCAGGCTGCAGCTCGTAGAAGTGCTGCAACTACGATGGTCGTAGTCGATGAAAACGTGTATATATACATGCTTGATGTTTGATTGTAAATGCAAGAGATCTGTGTTTCCCCGTAGTCGTTGTTGCCGTTACTGGCATGGTCGTGCATTATCAGAGTGTAACGATGCCAATGGTACACGCGATCGGACCACACACAAGCTCTCTACCGTGACCTCTTAATCATCTAATTTTTCGTTACAACTTTCGACTCTTTTTATCTGTTATAATGTTCAATACCCAGGCAATTCAAAGTTTCTGTTCATATTAGAATGATTATCAGGAATGAGATAGAATTAGGAATAGTTAATATCATTTAAGAATTCTCTAATCAATCGAAAGATATTTCAGATATTTATCATTTTTACGTATCACATTTTAAATATATAATTTCAATTGTAAATTCGACATAACTCTAACTGTCACAGTTCATTCACCATCGCTTCCTGATTAAGAAACATCGACGATGAAAATAAAAGTGATTTCTATTATGCGATATATATAGTCTAACTATATCACTATAACAACAGTAACTAATCAGTTTGAGAATAAACGAGAGAATATTAATGTTAGAATGCTAAACTTTTGTATACCTAAATAAGTGCATAATTCTTTAAATAATTGAGAATCATGGAAACTGAATCTCGACGATCTCGAAGAAAAAGAAGACCCGCACGAGCCGACGGCTCGCAGAGTTCTGCTCTGTGACTCCGACTGGGATTATTTGGATCCCTATCCCTACGGCTTTCTCCCTCTTTCTCCCTTTCTCTTTCTCCTTTACTCTCCCTCGATCCTCTTTCTCCCTTCTCTGTGTCGCGTTGAATCCGTTTCCGTTGTGACTGCTACGGCACGCTTCTCACGGGACAAGTGTTGTCCGAGAGATGTGCTTTGATTTCAACAAAAACAGATACATCGTCGATCAGCAAAGTGAAAAGAAACACACGAGATATCTTTCAAAATAATATGGAAAACTTTTAGATTCAATTGTACTATAAACGTAAGAGTTTTCTCAATAGAGAGGTCGATTAGAAATCGAAGATGAAACTGACAACATTTTCTCGGGGAAGTTGGGATCCCCTCGTTCCGTTTACTATTCCGTTTCGTCTGTCGTCTGTAGCGTAGGTGGGGTAAGCTTGTAGTACACCACCTCTCGGTCTCTGTAGCTCTCTCTCTCTCTCTCTCTCTCTCTGTTTCTCTGTCTCTATCACTCCCAGTGGGGACGATTCATTCAGAGAAATTGCCGTGAAAGGGACACCTGTTGGCACGGTACTCAATGTGACAATCCTAGAAACACGAGCACGTGCCATGCTCGTGTTAACGACAACGTTTAACTCGTGAATTGAAAGTAACTCGATCAGTTACTTACTTGACACTAAAATGCATCGATAAAGATATGCGTTATTGAAGATGAAAGAATACCTCCTATTATCGCGAGAATGCATCGATAAGTTTAGGATGTTGTTGCCTGCCGGCAGGCAACAAGTCCAAACGATGATTAAGTCTTAAGGAACGGTAGGTGGTAGACAATTAAAGTACTTTTAGGCCGAGCAGTAGCGCCGAAAGGCGGATGGGCGAAGATAAAGTGTTGCCCAGAGGCGACACCATCCGTTATTAATGTATGCGAGGATCGTAGCTTCCGCGAGTAAGGCCTTAGCTCGATGAGTCCTATAGATGGTTGACTTATCTCTTAGAATTATCGAGCGAACTGTCGGTGACTTTTAGAGGGATTCCGTGCGACGAATTGACAAGTACCTTTCTCGATAGGTAGTCGTTCCATTGAAACGAAATGAGATTAGCACGAGTCTGTGTACAAGTTAGATAATCTTAAAACTGGTTTCATCGATTAACAATTTCACACACGATCTGTCAATCTTCTGATTGTGGATTTACTTGATTAATTTTCGCTTCACCTACCTGGCCGTTGTGCAGTCCCTGTAGAGAATGTCGAAGTCCTTGCAGCTGAGAAGTTTACAACGATTGACGCCCGGTTGAATGGCTCCGAGACCGCGTAGGATTCTAACCTGCTCGACGTTGCATACCAACGGCACGATATCTAGTCTCTTTAGCTTGGTATAGACGGTATGTAAACCACCCACGAGATGTTTGAGGAAGAGCTCAAAGGCCTGAGGCAAGCAGAGCATAGTATCACCGGCAATAATGAAGGCAGCGACCTTCTGGCCACGATAATCGACGAGTTTACATTCGTTCGCCGTTGGATCACTGGTACTGATTGGCGGTGGACTGTTATACGATCTGGGTGGTAATACAGCGTGATGAGCAGCCATCAATTCCAAAGGCGATCCATGATGACCGCTTAGCATACCACCTAACTGACCCAAAAGACCCAGTCCCGGTGGCGGTAGTCCCGGCATTCGTGGTACCATTCCTGGAGGTGCACCGGGCCCTCCCCCGGCCGACAGAGGCGGTGGACTCAGGGGAAGACCCTGTGGTGGTGATCCTCTCGTCGGTGAGCCTGGTGTCGGTACACCTCGATGTTGCTGCTGTTGCTGTTGATGTTCACGTAACTGATCTCGTGGATGGGATTGTAAGGAGGATTGATGCTGGGAGCCGTGCAGCTGCTGTTGCTGTTGACTCTGTTGTGCTGATGGACTGTGAGGATGTTTTGGGCTGCCGGTTACGGGACTGGCACGGCTGCTGTGTTCGGAAGAGCTGTCCATCGCTCCGTGGTCCATCGATGGTTAAATTTTCTCGCTGCTTTCGTTTTCTCGTTTCGTCGACTCTTCTACTTGTACTCTCCGGCACTTTCCTCTCTGGTCGTTTTAACAATAGCAGCCTTTATCGTCAAAGTCACAACAACGAACCGCTTTTATGAATGAAAACAAATAACGATGCTCGCGAAGATATATATCACCATACGAAGAAAAACACGCGGACTTAGGATCACCGGGTCGTTGTAATATACAATGTCGACCGTCCCAATAAATCTTATCACTGTCACTTGAGAAATCCTTGTCCCGTGTTATCGCAAGAGAAAGTACGAGGTTCACCATACGCGAGAACACGACAAGTCTTGATCATATCTCTTTGGCGAGTCTCAATGTTGACACTTAGACGAAAGGACGAGTTGACGTCCATTTGTCGTCCATCGCAACGTTTTTGGCTCCAACAGAGACGTCTAGGACGTCCTGAGGACGACAAAAACGAGCACGACAATAACGTTGATAACAATTACGACGACAACAATGCCGATAACGTTTCGCGACAATCACAGACAATTCGACGATCCACACTCGATCGAGATCGTTGAAAACGCGAACGCGACGACGTGGGTTGCCAGCGCCGACGACGGCGACGGCGACGACGGCGGTGACAACGACGACGAAAATCACCGCGACGACGACGACGACGACGACGGCGACGACGACGACGACGACGACGACGACGACGACGACGGCGACGACGACGACGACGACGACGACGGCGACGACGACTACGGTAACTCGCGCAGGGACGCGCGTCGCTCGTTCTCAAAGTGGCAAACGCTCTCTCGGTCGAGTCCGGAGTATTTCCCTACCCAGTCACAGATGTAATAAATAAAAACATCAGTGGGAGCCCCGCGAACGGGGAGGATGGGCGTTCACTGCGCGTACCACGCAATCCGGTTGGCGGAGCCAGCAAACGAACGAATGTTACGATTGGCTCTTGGGAACCGAACGTCGACGCCTTTGGAACCTACCCTCGGTTGGTGGCGGGTCTACCGGCGCTCTGCCACCCCTCTCCCTTTATCCTCCCCACTTCCAGGACCATCACCGCCACCACCACCACCACCCCAACAGTGGCAGGAGCACGACGGAACGCGCTTCGGTTCTTCAAGCCACGACTAACGGCGAGAACAGACGAGGAGGACTGACTAGAAGAGAGCGCGACGGCGCTTCTCTCAGCGCTTCCCGGGAGCCAGTAACACGCGCGCGCAGACACACGATTCCATACGAAAGACAGAGAGAGAAAGAGAGAGAAAGAGACCGAGGACAGTACGACTCGACGAGAGAACGTACCGGCGGCGCTGACGGTTCTACGAGTGGGGATTTCTTCTTTTTCCTCGCGACTTCTACCCCTCCTCCTCCTCCTCCTCCAACCTCTCTCCGAGGTATACGTCGAGATCCTCCGGCCCGCCCTCCTTCCAACGATCTCTCTAACATTCTCTCCGTCTCTTTCTACCGCGAGACGGCCCTCTTTACCGCGTTTCCTCCACCTCCCAGGGACCATGCCCTCCTCCCTCCTTCCCTCCTCTCTTCGCCAAAGAATGTCGCCGGCTACGTTCGAATCGATCGTTCGCTCTCTCGCGGTACTCCTCCCACCCACCTCCACCATATTCGCCATCAGCATTACACGCGCGCACTTATTTCTTCCGTAGGTAACTCCGCTTCCTCGCGATCTTTCTCTCCCCTCCTTCATCTTAGTCGTCTTTTGCCCACGAACTTCTCTTTCTCTCTCTCCCTCTCTCTCTTTCTCTCTCACTCTTTCCCCACTCTTCGATATCCTTCTATCTCTATCTCAGTCTCTCTTGCGAGCTCATCTGACCCCTACCAAGCTTCCACCGCCACTTTCCCACCCTCGATCCCAACCACCACCACCACCACCACCATCACCAACGTTCTTGTCGTTCTCGTCGTTGTCGGGGTATGGGTGCTTAATATCTTTGTGCCATAGCCAAGGCGTACGTATCCACCGACTGTTCCCGGAGGTGAACTTTTCGTGCGAGTGTGTCTTGCGAGGGAGGAAGGAAAGAAAGAAAGAAAGAAAGAAAAAAAAATGGAAAAGGAAAGAAAAGAAAAGAAAAGAAAAAAGGAAAATATGAAAAAACGTGGGAGAACTTTGTTTCTCCCTCTTTCTTACTTCTTTCCTACTTCCTCCTCGTGAACCGATCGGCCAACGTTGATAGGTCGGTCCCGGGTAATGTACAAGTAGAAGGCTTACTCTTATATGTCCACCCCGTGTTTTAGCTACGTTTTCGAATTTACTTAAGTACTTTCGAATTTTTAGAAGGTTTCATCGACTTTTCAAAAAAGACAAAAAAAAAACAAAAGAAAAACGGAAAAAGAAATTTTCCTCTTCTACGTTAGATTTAATTAGACATTTCCTCAATCTAATTTCCAAAAGGGCTGAGGCAAGAAAATCGATTATTTCTCGATGCACGCGACTCAATGATTTTAAAGGGAAAACAATAGAAATGTTGGTTTCTCTTTAAAAAAAAAAAAAAAAAAAAAAAAAAAAAAACATAAGAAAAAATTAGAGAAAAAAGAAAGGGAAACCATTTCAAAAGTCAAACTAACTTCTGAGGAATCCAGTGAAAGAAGGCGAATGCGTTGGCAGGAAAGAGGGAGAGGCAGAAGCCTGGTCCGATTATCTTGTCATAGATGTTTCAAGAGTCGATGGGAGAGAAAGGAAAAGGGCGACGTACTAGCCTCCACCCCATCCTCCTCCTCCTCCTCCTTCTCTTCCTCTTTCTCTTCTCTTTTGGCCGGTCATCCCCTCATCGGCCCGGTGACCTAAATCTACCGATGAAGGAGAGACCCTCTCCTCGCCTTCGTTACATTCGTGTAAGTGTCTATTTGTGTTTGAAAGAGTGAGATAGAGAGAGATACGGAGAGAGAGAGAGAGAGAGAGAGAGTATACGTATATTCCGTAACTTCGCGCATACATTCGCTAACCGCAGCTGATCCCTTGACCTCGTCCAACCCCGAACGAAACGGGAGACCCCGATGGGCCTAACGTTCATTGACCGTTGGCGCTCGAGCGAAAAGGGCTAACTCGCGATTCGACCGGTCGACCAACACGAGGAGGACACAACGTTTCTTTCCAAAATCCCTGCTCGCTTTGTCTCTTTTCACGCGCATCATTAGACTCCAGAAGGGGGCTAAATTATCCGCTAAATATTCGCTGTTTTACCTTAGGATACTTTTTTCTTTTTTCGTCTTCTTCTTTTTCGCAAGACCCTTTATTCTTAACCACGACAATATATATATAGTTTTTATCGTGTTAAAAAAAAAAGGAACAAAGAAAAAAGAAAATCCATTTGTATTAATCATTAAAATGTATTTTCAAATGTATCGATAGGTAGGTATACTTGGAAATAAAGAATGGAACCTGTATTATTCATTTTATTTTCATTCTAATTCTGAATCCTAAAGAGGAAAAATTAAAAAAAAAAAGAACAAGAAAAAAGAGAGAGAGAGAAAATACATTTTATTCATATTCGAGTCTGATTCCTATATAGAAATAAAAGAAAGAAAATTAAATAGAATCGACCTTCCAAAAGACAAACTCGCTCGTTCATTCGCTCAGTCGTTCGGTCATCCGAGATAACGCGAGAATCGTTCTTTGTCTCTTGAAAGCGATCGATCATGAGATCGATGTCCGCCGTCCAACTAGAAGGCGGCCCTCGATCGGTAGGGGGACCGATGTTTGCCTCGACCCAAACCACGTCCAATTAGTGGAATTAATACCGGCTGGCTTTGGGGGAGCTAATGCCCCTGTGTGCATACCTACGGGTATGCACGCCGATGACTGCACTTTCCTTCGTGCGTAATGAAGGACAAACGCGCCGACGCTCGCACCACCTCGATGCGTCCGCTCGCGATGCCGATCGGTGACTGCGCTCTTGTGTTCTCCGCGGCACGACGTGAAATTCCGCGACTCTGCGGTGTCCGCACGACACTGTTCTCTCTCTCTCTCTCTCCCTCTCTCTTACGCGAGCGACCCGTTTGGAAACTCGTGCGCTTAATTACGTTTCGATGCCACGCGTTCTCTGCAGACTTGTTCATCCTACTGTTAATAATAATAATAATAATAATAATAATAATAATAATAATAATAATAATAATAATAATAATATTAATAATAATAATAATAATAATAATAATAATAATAATATTAATAATAATAATAATAATAATAATAATAATAATAATAATAATAATAATAATAACGATGATGACGATGATGACGATAATGATAAATTAAGCTAGTCACTAATAGTGCTGTGACAAATATGGGAACGAGAATTGACTGTTTTCTTTCCTTCATTTTTTTCTGCCTTTTTCTTTTTCTTTTTTTTTTTTCACTCGCATACAATTTTTGATGCATTTACGGATAGATTAGATAGAATATTTTTAAAAATGCGTATATATATATATATATGTTTGTGTGCGTGTATTTATTTATTGGAATAGAATAACCAAAAGCATATCGTAAAGGGAATATGACTGAATTACTTTTGACTTGCACCATCTCGAGCGTCTCTTTTACTCGAAAATTTTCATCCCGTCTTCTTCGATCCTCCTCCTACCAAACGTTTCAACTTTATGAGTATGCGCATTGCTCTCTCTCTCTCTCTCTCTCTCTCTCTCTCTCTCTCTCTCGTTTTACACAAGCTGCAGCGCATTTTCAGGCAGACTGCCGTGTGATACGCATTGTTCGACCTGAACACCATCCTCTCTCTTTCTCTCTCTCTCTTTCTCTCTCTCTCTTTCTCTCTCTCTCTCTCTCTCTTTCTCTCTCTCTCTCTCTCTCTCTCTCTCTCTCTTTGGTTGGCCAGCGCGTGCACGCACGACGTGTGTATATGCATCGTGCATAGACGTCGTTGCGTAACCCTCGTCATTGTTTGTGCCTCGCGTCGTTGTTACACGCCGGCACGCGGAAAGCCGAGGGTAGATTTTAGCCTCTGACGGGAGATGTAAAAGAGTGCGCCAATTTTTGTTCACCTAACACCGCGAACGACGTGTGCCAACGCTGAATTCGTTCTACTGGAAGTCTCTCTTTCCTCTCTTACGATCTAGTACAAAGTATACCTACCCACCTATCTACCCTTAATTCTTCCTTTTCGTTGCGTCTTGAACTTAGAAATATTTTTAATATATTTAAATATATACTAAATCTTTCATAATTAATTTTCTTCTCTTTTTTTTGATTTCTTTTTTTTTTTTTAATCATTCTATTTATAATAATCTATAATTATGGGGTAAAATCCTATGAATTATTACGTATATAAATTTATATATTCCATCTTAAAATCAAATATATATATGTGTATGCTTGTGTGCGTATGTGTGCGTTGATAGGTGCATACATGCATTAAATGTTTTACAAAGATCATATCAATTATGTCTATATATGTTACAATATCTATCATATATATATATATATACAAATCTCTTCATAGGAAATAGAATAAATTAGACGTCTTCCCTTTATGTCTGGTGACCATCGTCGTCATTTTCAAAGTCCTTACCAAGACAGACGCCGCAGAATCCACCGTATAAGCTTACCGCGACCGCAGATGTGCGAGTAAGCGGTTAACCCTTAGCGGTCGACCATTTGGTATTTGCGGCATCGGTAGTTTTCAGTTTCAATTGCAAATCCTAAACTTAGCACGATATACCTATTATCATTCTTAATCGTATAAAATAGACGATTAACAAATATTAGATGGAAATAATTAATTATATGGAACATTTAAAAATAAAGAAATATATATATAATATATATATATATATATATATATACGTATACTTATATGAATAAAATGTATACATATATAAATGAAAAAAAAAGAAAAAAAAGGAGAAATATTAGCGA